CTAAGACCCACAGGTTGAGAACTGCTGAAATTTAGCCATCCTATCTGGCGTATGTCAGAGTTCTCTGGAGTAACAGAACTTAGAGAATGAGTCCATTTCCTCCCTCCCTCCCCTCCTCTCTCCTCTGTATGTATGTATGTATGTATGTATTATGGTTTAGCAGAATGGCTTACAGGCTGGGATCCAGCTAATCCCACAATGGAACAAAAGGTCCGAAAATTCATTAAGTGTTCAGTCCATGAGGTTGGGTGTCTCAGCTGACCTTCAGAATATGCTGGAATCCCACAGAAGTAGGTTCTAATGCCAGTGAAGGAATGGACTTAACAGCAAGGGTGGGAGGAAGCTGGCAAAAATAGAGCACGTCCCTCTTCCGTGTCACACAGGCTTCCAGCAGGAGGCAGGGCCCAGGTTAGAGGTAGGTCTTCCCACCTCAAAGGTCCAGATTAGAAGTGGACCTTCCCATGTTTCATGAGTGGACGGAGGGCAGGTGGGGATGGAAACATGAATGATCAAGTTGGGGTTCACGAGGGGAGAGTGCTGAGGGATACTGCTATGGGGGCATTTCGGGGTCAGGTGGAAGTCTGGCACAGGGAATTTCCCAGGAATCTATAGGGAGGACCCCGGCTTAGACTTCTAGCAATAGTGGATGGCTAGCCTGAACTGTAGTGGATATGTAGGTCATCTCCCAGGACCTGACTGGTGCCTGGCACAACTGTCATCAGAAGCATCATCCAGAAACTGATGGAGACAGATGCAGAGACCCATAGCCAAGCGTTAGACGGAGTTCAGGAATTCAGAGGAGGAGGAAGAGGAGAATGGACTGTAGGAGTCAGAGGGGTCAAGGACACCGCAGGAAGGTCCACACAGTCTAACCTTGGCTCATGGGGGCTCGCAGAGACTGAACCTATAACCAAGAAGCTTGTATGAGACTGACCTAGGCACTCTGCATATATGTTACAGTTGTGTAGCTTGGTCCTCTTGTAGGACTCCTAACAGCAGGAAGAGGGGCTGTCTCCAACTCTTCTATTGGCTTTTGGGACTCTACACCTCTCACTGGGTCACCTTGTCCAGCCTTGATACACGGGGAGGGGCTTAGTCTTACTGCAACTTGATATGCCGTGTTTTGCTGATACTCATGGGAGACATGGATGAAAGAAGAGGGGATAGGGAAGAAAGGAGGAGAGGAACTGGGAGGATGTAAAATAAATAGATGAATTGAAAAAAAAATAAGATCCACTGAAACCAACTTTTTAAAAAAAAGAAGTAGCTCTTCCCACTTCAAATGATCAAATTAAGCAAAAGTCCTCACAGGTGTGCTCAACCATTTTTGAGGCTTTAGTTAATGCCAGATGTAGTCAAACTGACAACCAGGACTAGCCATCAGAGCTGGCAAAGGCAGACAGCCAGCATGTGCTGGGTTCTCCAGTCCTGTAGGCAAGATTTTTATGAGGCAGTCAGACCAACTGAGCACACTTGCCCCTAGGGGTGAGGCTCAAACTGGAACTATGTGAGCGCCAGGCCTAGAAGTTCCTCCAACCCGGGATTTCCAGGATTCCGGAGCCCACCACCCCTGAGGATGAGGACAGGGACCATCTACAGCAGAACAAAGCCGTTTGGGCAAGGGACTTCACCTGAAGATTCACACACGCTGACCCCAGGATGCCTTACACCTAACTGCAGGGTTGTTCAGACCCGAAAGCTCTGGCACTGTCACCAGTTAACACCATCGTGTGTCACTTTTGGGCCAGGTACCTGTAAGGAGTACCAAGGAGGAAGAGGCCCCACCACAACAGGGACCAGGTCTTGTGTTCAGTCAACAGTCTCCAAGAGCGCCACAAGTCTCACAGCTTGCTCAGGTGGCACTGGCTCCAGGATTCCCACAGACATCCCAGCGAACGGAGCATACAGAGGATCAGTCGGTACATATAAAAATACACAGGCAAGTCAGTGCACACCTTTAATCCTATCACTCAGGAGGCAGAGACAGGTGGGTCTCTATGAACTTGAGGTCAGTCTGGTCTACATAGCAAGTTCTAGGCCAGCTAAGGGTACATAGTGAGACCTGTTTGAAAAAACAAAAACAATACATGTGTATGCACACACAGGTACGCCTTTGTGCATTTATCTGTGAACAGAGACCAGAGGACATTGAGTGCCCGGGTGCTCTATTGCTCTCGACCTTATCTTTTGAGATAGGTCTCTCACCACCTGGAGCTAGACTGATATCAGCAACACCCAGGGATGCTCTTGTCTCTGTCTGTCCTCCACAGTACTGGAGTTACAGGGTCAAACATGTGACTATGCCTGGCTTTTTATAACCATGCTGAGAATTTGAACTCAGGACCTCACACTTGAGTAACAAGTTGAATAGCAAATTGTTGAGCCATCTTCCTAGCCCCCAATACTTGGTCTTTCAGTGAGAGAATGAGCACTGGCTAGGGACTGAATACATCACTAGTGACAGCAAATCTGAGAACCTGAAGACAGCAACATCTTTCCACACACACCACATCTATTTAGGGTGAACAGTCTCCCACTACTACAAAAGAGGCAGCTGAGTTTCATAAACTGGGGACAGTAACAGGGGTTGGCACCTCCCGTGTCCAGGAAAGAAGCCTCACTCTGGGAAATGGCCTTCCTGATATGTCTTCTCTGCCAGACAAGTGTGACATTTCCCTTTCCCTGACAGGAGACAGTAAGAAAGAAACAGTTCAGATGCAGTGGGAGAAACAAAGTTAAACCTTCACTTTGCATTTATGTCAAAATAAATTCGAGGCGGATTAAATCTTGAGTGTAAAAGCCTAAAGCAGCAGCATCTAGTAGGAGAAAGAGACGCTATCTAGCTAGTTACCTGCTGGAGAGGAGAACAGAAAACATTCAATGCTTTGCTATAAATATGAAAAATTTTGAACATCAAAAGCTGCCACAAACAAAAATGTAAAAGTTGAGAAAAAAAATGTGTAGGAGGCAGAGACAAAATCATTAATATTTAAAGACTCTAAAGGCTGGAAAAGCTATCAACCCCTGAAGAGAACCTGGTGTGGGGCTGACCAGATTTCTGAGCAGGGGCAGAAGCTTGTTTAATTGTGTGAAAGATACGCTATTACCCAGGCCTTGCAGTGAGGGTGTCACTCCCTCACAGTGCCTTTAGGCTCTCCCTCCTACTACTTCCACCTCACAACCCCATGTTTGTGATTGTTCTTGTTCATCTCCTCAGCCAGCCAGAACTCCTCTAGTGCAATGCCCGTGCCTGGCATGGTGCTCAGTAAGTAGGCACGAGGTGGCTGAAGGTGGGCATGGGAACACGTAGCCCCATTTTACCTTCGCTCCAAGGGCCCCTCCCCATGTCCCTCCTGGCTATATGCAGAGACACACTTTAACAAGACAGGGAGCCATAAGCCAGGGCCAGGGTATTGCTTGCCAGTCTATGAAATGGGCCCAGATCAAGGCAGAGATGGCACGAATGATGCCAACCATCCTGCCCAAACCCAGAGCAGGCATGAATAATCGATCAAAACCACAGAACACAGACAGAGAAAGGAGAGCATGAAGCAGGGAGAGGGGCAAAGAAAGACAGGGAGGAGGCAAAGCAGAGAAGGAAGAAAGGAGAGCACCAGAGCAAAGAGTGGCTGTGGGTGTTGAGCAGTCCCAGAGCCGTTACCTGAGCGCCAGCTATCCGGCCTCCTGAATGTGTGGCAGCCCAGACAGCCTAGCCCGTATAGGATCCTGAGCTTGAGTCCCCAGAATCAAGGTGGGGAAAAACAGTAAGGGGGTGCAGTGTAGTCTTTCTTTCCCCTTGTCCCCAGGAACTGTCACCTCTTCTACAGGAAGTGCCATGGTTCAAGGCCTGGACACAGCCTGAGCCTCTTTATCTCAAAAGCCGCTGTGTAACTCAGTGGACTGTACACTGACATGTTCGACCAGACAGTGGTCCTCCCACACATCAACAAATATGCCCAGTCTAGCCAACAGCTTCCCACGCCCAAGGTCCTTGGTCACCCCTTGTGCCTATATCCCTTCACAGAGGACCCTCAGGCAACCAAAGGCTCCTGGGTCTGTGGCTACCACCTTCTCCTCAGCACACCATTACAGAGGGCCAGTGCTCTGGGCACTGGTGTTGGCTGAGCGGAATTATGCGAAGGAAAAGGACAGCTCATCAGGAACTGGACAGCTGTATAGGATGAACAGGAGTATACAGGGAGCGCTCCTTGTATCACCAACTCTGCCCCAAAGCAACCACTGTAGGGTGTCAAACGCCATCCAAGCGTCTCTTCTACCCATAGAGTACCAGGGGGCACAAAACCACTATGCCACCCAACCTGCCACACTTCCTGGGCATCACACATATATGCCACTGTGTGCTACTGAAGCTGGCCACCACCCCAGCTAAGTCGGTCTACACCGCGGGGCTATGCTCAGAGCGGAGTGCCACTGTTCTGATACCAGCCTTGTTACCCAGCAGTGGAACAAGAGTGGTGGGGCTGTGAGAGAACAACAGGCACACAAAACTGCAAGATTTATTCACCTTGCAGATGAAGTCCACAGTGCCAGGCCTTGGGGCTTATCAGCAGTGGCCAGCTGGTGGCTCCATTGTTCCCTGGGTAGTCAGAAGCACCCCTGAGCTGAGCTGTAGGCCAAGCAGGATGTGTGATACCAGATACCACCATGGCTGGTATCCAACCCCAGATGGACAGAGATCAGACCCAGCTAATGTCCTTACTGACAATGCCCAGCAACCTGGTAGGTCAGTCCCACTGTGGGCTCATCCTCAAGACAGGCATCAATCTGGCGGCTGTTATGTACACTTGAGCCACAGGGAAATCTTAGTTGGCATGGCAGGCCCCCATATCTTATCCTGTCCAGACTTCAGACTGTGTTTACCCAGGATGAAGCTAAGCAAACAAGAGTACGCACTGCCTGTACCCAGATTATTCCCCAACTAACCACACCCACCAACTTCACCAGGACACTCTGCTATCCTGAGCGACACAGACACTTACCTATTTCAGGGGATCTCAGCATGTCTTAACACCCATCCTGTGGACTCTGTCCCTGCAGAGAGACCAGAGGATACTATGTGACCACCCTGGAGTCAGTTCCTTCTGGATGCAAGCACACTGGCCTAGACTCTTCCCCAAGCAGGACACTGGCATCTGACTCTAAGGGAGCCCCGTGGTGCTCCTGACCCAACCACACACTGTGTGCTTTCCTGTCTCAACACACAACTGGGACTGCAGTTTACATTAGGTCCACTTCCCTCCCGATGAGGCTGAAGTCACAGAGTGGACAGACAGCGCCCTCCTTCTCCTCCCAGAAGGCTGCATCTGATATAGTCTGATAAACAGCTCAAGAAGAATCCTCTCTCTGTCTCTCTGGGTTTTTGTTTTGTTTGGTTTGGTTTTTCGAGACAGGGTTTCTCTGTAGCTTTGGAGCCTGTCCTGGAACTAGCTCTTTTAGACCAGGCTGGCCTCGAACTCACAGACATCCGCCTGCTTCTGCCTCCAAGTGCTGGGATTAAAGGCGTGCGCCACCACCGCCAGGCTCAAGGAGAACTCCCTCACTAGGGTCTTGCTGTTCCATGTAGGGTCGTGCCCCCCAACCCCTTCAGCCATACCTACCCTGTGGGACGGCATCTGCCTCTCCCAAGGCTCCTCAAAACCAGCTCCAGCCCTTGTCCCTTTGGCAGCTTGCCAGTTCCTAGCACACTGGTGGCAGGCAAGCTGTAGCACCTGGCCCTGGAGCATGGAGCACTCAGATGTATAGGCTGGAGTGTGGCGTGAGGCAGCACTGGTGTGTTCTCAGCACGCAACCCTACTGTGGACTGCAGGAACCACCACTTCCTGTCTCAGCAGACAGCCTAGGGACACATTCCCTCCTGGTATATCTAAGCTTAGGGACACTGCTGGAGTGTTTATGCCACAAAAATGCAAATCTATATGGTGAGGGAAGGTTGAGCAAGAGGAGACATCTCTGGGGTACTATGGTGAAAGTAATGGGAGTTCTTCCCTCTCTGGTCTGTTTCCAGATTGTTCTATGCCTCTGCCCAATCTTCCTCAATGGACTCCATTCACTTGGTCCCAGAAGTCTCTCTGTCTCACAACAGCCTATCTTCCCCCAGCCTAGGAAGAATTCCATCCAACCTAGAGTTGGGTAGCTGGGAGGACCAGAAGGCTGGCTTGCTACCCTAGCAGTCCCTGAGGCCCTCTGGTGGCCATACTCAGGCCCGGCTGCGGCACTAGAGACTGCCAGGCCATTCAGTAGAGAGGCTTCAAGTAGGAAGTGGAGAGCTGGTTAAACATTAGAGTGGGATCATGATGCGTGGGTACACAACATGATGCGTCAGTCCACAACAACACCAGGGGCAAAAGGGAGCCAGGCACATGCTGAGGCAGGAGGACCTTCTGATACCGGAGGAACTGTTGGATAGAGTTGTCCACTAACCCTTCCCCCAAGCAGAGGCAAAGCCTGCGGCTGGAAAATGAGCCCCTGTTCTAAGCATAATATTTCTGGGACAACTTTGCTTTTAACTTAAATGTTAACCTGGATTTTGTCTTACAGAGAACCACATGACTTTGCTATCAGCCCTGATCTTTGAAAGTCTCACCCCAGCACTTGCCACACCACAACAGCCTTGGCCACACGAATGGCAAGTCAACATCTAACTCCCGCTGACTGTCCTGGGTAGGTATAATTCCCTATCTTACAAATGTGAAAACCAGGGCTGGAGAGATGGCTCAGAGGTTAAGAGCATTGCCTGCTCTTCCAAAGGTCCTGAGTTCAATTCCCGGCAACCACATGGTGGCTCACAACCACCTTAATGAGGTCTGGTGCCCTCTTCTGGCCTGCAGACATACACACAGACAGAATATTGTATACATAATAAATAAATAAATATTTTTTTAAAAAGAAAACAAATGTGAAAACCAGATCCAGGTCAGGTAGAATCTGATCTGAACTCATGTCTTCATATTCCCAGGGCTTCTCATATCCCCTCCCGCAGCGGGGGATGGCATGGCTACAAGAAAGTGACTCCTGCCATAAGGTACTCCAGGAGAGATGTTAGGCAAAGGGTGGAGACGCAGAGGGGCTACAGGAGGCAGGGTGACAGTGGTCAACAGAGGAACGGGTCTCTTTCTAGGGGTACTTTCATTACAGGGGTAGGGTACAGGATGTTAGGTCAGGATGGAGGGACCAGTCAGCTTGCTGGGAGCCCTATATCAGGAGGCAGACTGGAAGTGGCAGAGATTGGACAAGGCAGTGAAACAAAGGCAAACCTAATGATGGGACTCATGACGGGATCTTGAAAGCCTTTGAACATCCTGCTGAGCTAGTCTACAGGCTCCTGGGTAACCCATCTGGCCAAAGAGCACTGAGCACTTTGTCATGCTCCATTTCTTCAATGAGGATGGTCTGAGCCTAGCCCTGTGATAACCTGCCTCCCAGGCACAAACACTGGGCTTTCTCCACGAAACCATCTAAATCTCTAGACACACTGCTGACACCTGCCTGTACTCCACAGACCTGCTGAGACTTGGGGGAAGGTCTGCAGCTGTGTTACAGTGCCACTGACCCAAACACAGGGCTATAGGCTGAGGCACAAGCCTGGCTCAGAACAGCAAGGTATAGACCAGCAAAGGCTGACTATGTGGAGAGCCCCCACAGGTACAAGCTGAGTCCACCAAAGGACAGGCCAGACTGAGCATGAGGAGCAGGTGACTGAGGGCACATGCACTCATCATGGGTCAGGATGGGCCGCCTAAGAGCTTGGTCGTGGTATAGCCTCAGCAGGATGCAGCCTTGCATGGGTCTCTTAGGGCTCTGCGAGCAAAGGTAGGAATGAAAATGCAAGAGAACACGTCTTTCCTGCAGTCAATGTGGGCGCAGATACAGGGAGCCCTTCAGCCACCTTCAGGGACAGTTCATGCTGCTACAAGACTGGTACCTACCACAGCAAAGTCACTCCTCCAGACCCATCGTAAGAATGCACCAACTGCAGTCAAGGACGCTGATGCCCAGCTCAGGTCTAGACACTGCTGCAAAACCATTTTCATCTACCAGTGTCCTTGTGGGCCTTCGTTTCACCATCCCACCGTGTGGCCCTTGAGTGGCCCTCAGAGCGCAAGAAGCACTCCAGGATGCCAAGGAGCCTTGTCCCAGGATCTCTGACTCCTCCCCGGCTCCCCAGCTCTGACAATCAGCCCAGAAGAAGTAGAGCTCTAGCTTTCCAGCTAGGCATCTGGAGAAGAGCTCCAGGCTAGTCTGGGAGTGAAAGGAAGTCAGTCTGAATCCTGTGCTGCACAAACAAGGACACAGCACAGCCCTACTCTTACAGAGGCTAAGAAATGCAAAAGCTGCTTAGGGCAAGTAAGAGGCCACCTGGAGGAGGGTTGTGTGAGAGAGAATGAATGTAGGGAGCCAACGAGCACAGATTGAGGGTAGGAGGGATATAGCAGCTGGGACATAGCCAGACCAAGGGCTGAGCCCAATTCATGCAAGAGAGCCTTGGTCACCAGCATCTGTACAGAAGTCGTAAGGATGGCACAGCTAGGAGGACCGGGTGGGCATTGGCTTGGCTGTGCTCTGAAGTACCTGTCATCAGAGCCAAATACTTTGTGCCCGCTATGTGATGAGCACTAATGGACCCCAAACGAAGGATAGGTGTAGACAGCAGAAGAAGCAGGTACCTCAGATGACACAAAGTTGCAGGTCCTAGCCTTTCCAGATAGTTAGCATCTATCTGGACCACCTGCTTCTGAAGCAGACATAGCCTCAGAACACGGGGATGAACTAGAGCAGTCCCAGTATCTATCACCATCCAGGCTCACAGATCCTGAGACCCTCTCCACAGCAGGCAGCATTTGCTCCAGATGGACCAGATACAGCCTGGATCCTGGACCAGAGGAGAGGTATAGGGGCTGGGGATCATTGTGGAGTTGGAGGTTCTCGCTGCATAACTGGCCGTACTGAGCCAGAGTTGTTCCCAATGACAACTTGGCCATAGTTCTATCTCTGGCTTTATAAAAGTAGGTATGTATGCTTCATCTCAGATTGTTGGCCCACATTAAGAGTCTAGCCTAACATCAGGATAACCAAAGGGAATTCCAGTGAGGACCCAGCAGATAGTGTAAGCAGAAACCAGAGGCCTCAATGACTCTCTACAATGAATACTTGCAAGTAAAGATATATGGGTTAAAAAAAGAGAGAGAGAGAGAGAGCCTAAAAGTTAACACAAATAGGAACATTTCTTTCTTTTCCATCATATCTAAATGTCTGAATCTATAGGGAAAAAGCAAGAGTTCCCTAGTACCCTAGACACTTTGCTATCTGACATCAAAACAAATAGTTAAATGTTGCATGTATGCAACATCTGATTACTTAAAAATTAAAAGGGGAAAGTCAGAGTACCCAGGCCTCCTACCCAGAGCAACTCCAGGCTTGCCGACTGTCTGGGGTTGGCGTCCCACTGAGGAATGTGGAGTATCTAGGGAGGAGATCCAAGCGGAGACACCAGACAAGAGATTCCCAGCAGTCTTGTCTCTCATTTGTGAGGCCTTAGGAGCAGCGCGATGCGGGGATATCCCATTGGCATCGCCGAGATCTTGTGCTCACCAGCGGCCGTGCCGCCCGTGGAAGTTCCCAGACCTCGCCCCCCACCTTGAGTCCCCGTAGTAAAGTTTTCGTAGCTGTCGAGTCCCAGCTTCCAGGTGCTGCGGTGGCTCGCTGAGGGCAAGGCTGCGGGAGCTGGGTCGTGTTCAGGCCGGTAGCATGAAACTAGCGCCTTGGTCAAGTCGGACAGGGCCCTAAGGTCATGCACAAAGGGACCCGCCCCCAGCGACCCCAGCTCTCTGGAGCCCCAGCGTGGGCGAAGCGCTGATGGGCAGAAGAATTGGCATCCGAACCCCACCCAGACCTTGAGTCCGAGCCTAAGACCCTGTCCCTACCCGAGTCTAAGTCGCAAGCTAGACTCTATACCCAGCCCGCTCCCCCAGCACACACCCCAGCCCTGGCCCGGAATCGAAAGTCCAGTCCCAGGCCCCAGGCCCACAGCTGGACCCCGCCCACCCGGCCGAGCTCACCTGGCGAGCGGCGTGGGCGGCTCCGCAGCGCGGCCTCCGCCCCCAAGACAGGCGCTCCCGATACCCCGGCGCGCGAAGAGCGGCCTCTCCAGCGCTCTGCACCGAACGCGGCTCCCGGGGCCACAACTCGTGCCGGTGCTAGGGAGAACCCTCCCCCCCCCCCTACCCCCCACAGCCCGCGGGGTAGGCCCCCCCCCCGGCCCACGACCCGTGCGCAGAGCAGACCCAGCCGGCGACGAGGCCCCGGCCCCGCCCCATCCAACCGCGAATTTTCCCATTGGTAGAGAGACGCGCCCCGCAACCCGCACCGATTGGATGGATGTGCAGAGACTGCAGCTTGCTGTTGGGTTCCTGGTATTGTCAGTCTTAGCAGATGATCGGCCCCCTAGCGGAGCAGGCCGAGGAGGCCCTGACACCTGCCCCAATGCTGCGGTTGCAACGGAGACAGAAGGCTCGGAGCTGCCCCCTCTCGGCCGCCTTCTGAGGACTTTCCCGGATAGTAGGCCCTGAGCCGCAGCTCCCAGGGCCTGCGGTCACTACTGGATTCCAGCAGCGTTGTCTCCATCACCACCCCCAGTTCGCAGGTATCCTCTAGCGCCTGCTGTTTGCCGGACTCCAGGTGGAGTGTCGATCCTTTTTATTGGCATAGAATGGTATTTCTCCTACAAGGAGAGTTGGCCTGCTGCCCCTATTCTACAGATGGGAAACTGAGGTCTGGGGAGATTCTTGCTCGTTTTAGGAGACCAGGGCGTGAACCCAGTGGTCCATGGGGTTTAGGGCTCTCTCTTTGCCCTAGAGAGGACAGACAAGGTTAGCAAGGCTGACAAGGGGTGGGGATGGCTGCAGTGATTTCGAGGGCAAAAATAGACTGGTAAAACTAGGGTTTGTTTCTTCTGTCAAGCCTATATTTACAGCGCTCTTGGGTACTCCCCACACTGCATGAGGCTGCTCTTTCCTGGGGCATTAATAGAGTTCTCAGCCTGGGAAAGGGGAATTATTGTTTATCTCTCCCCACCCCACCCTGGTGTCGGCATTTCCTCTGCCCTGCTTTGAGTCTGGAGAAACATTAAGGAGCTTCATCCACTGCCTGAAAAGATTAGCACACATTTCCTGCCAGGTAGAGAACACCAACCACATCTGCAGTGACACAAGGCAGTGGAGGGGAACCACCAGGGATGTTGTAAACAGATGGGAGTGCAGAGATGAATCTGGCCTGTGCTTGCTTATAAGCCTTTCAGGCCCTGGATGCACCTGGACTCCTGGTGCATAGGTGGCTCCTGGGCTATCTGTGTTTCCAAGGCCCCTACAGATAGTGCTAATGGAAGCCAGTGTGCATGGGGGGGGGCTTCCAGACAGCCATATTTCACCCACATATGCTGAGTCCAGCATGCTCACCCAATAATGGCTGAACAAGAACCATCGTTGCTTGGCAAGAACAAAGAAAGAAAAATGCCTGGAGCAAGATCTCCCTTGTGGGTCCACCTGTTCACTAGCAATAAAAACTGATACCAGGAGCTCTTCAAAGTCAAGGCAGTTGCTTCTACTCTGTTGGTTATTGGCACTAGAAATGAATACCATTTGGCATCCTGACACTGAGATATTGTTGAGCTCTGGGAAGGCAGAGTGAGCCCCCTCAAGAAAACAGAGTCCTCCTAGAAGGCAGCTCTCGCTATGTAGAACACCACTGTGGCTAACTTGCTGTGTAGTAGGGGAGTCCCTTTCCTCCATTGGAAGTGGATTCAGTAAGTCCAACTGTCCTCTGGCATTCTCCAAAGGCATGGCCCCTAGGCATCCTGGAGCCCTTCTTCTAAAGTCCCATAGTTCTGTATCGCTATTTCTACACACCCGGTGATGGTACAAAAGAGGCTGACATGCCTCTTCTCTGCTGGAAGAAGGCAAAAGGAAAACATTCCTCCCTAATTAGCTCAAGCTAGGAATGCCCCCTTCCAGAGACCTGTCTGCTTTAGAGTCTGGTTACCCGCTGCATAGCCAAGACCACGGTGGGTAGAGGTGGCTCAGGTAGGTCTCAGGGGTGCTGTCCTGCAGTCTGCCTACCAGGGAGGGATCAAACATGGAGCAGAAGACCACAGGTGTCAATAGTTCGGTGTTCTCGCTCCCATCTAGCCAGCTGCTGGCCAGCTTTGTAGGGACAGTGCTGGGGGAAGTCACCGAGAAGGCGTGCATCAGGAAGAGCTTCCTAGCTGGTCCTCACTTATGCACTGAAAAGGTGGCTACAGAAGGTGGTGAGGGATGTGCAATTGGAGGTGGGAGGGCCATGCGCCAGACTTAAATGGGAGAGAATGTCAGAGAGTTTAACTAACAAAAAGGAGCAAGGGTTCAAATCAGGTCACAGGGCCACCTGCTGCCTGTGATGGGATTAGAACCACTTTTCAATGTGTTTTTGCATCTTTATTAGTGATGGGAAAGCTTGTCCAACCCATGTCCCACTCCAAGGTGCATGGCTTGGTGCTTTGGAGACAAGTTGTTGTGTATTTGCTGGCCCATAACCCAGCCATACTCATTTATCCCCAAGCCTGTGTCCTGCTTGCCCATCACTACTACCTTAGTGCCCAAGACCGAGTGGTCTGGTTGCTCAGTGGGAGATTGCTAGTGGGAGCACAGAACAACTGTACTAAACTGAGGGAGAATGGAAGTGCCTAGCTAGGTCTGCCACCTGCTGGCCATGAGTCATGCTGCTTGAAGTCCTGTTTCGTTTTTTGCTAACGGTTTCCATTGGCTCCGGGGAGGAATGCTGGTGAGGTAGTGAGAGAGATGGGCCGAGTAGCCGCGGTAACTGAGTCTGGCTACAGCCTTACCTTTGCCTCTCTGGATTCCAGTTTTCTAAAAACATCAGCATTGCAGTTTGGGACTATGGCCCCTAGATCTTCCATACAGCTATTGTCACTTGCCATTTTAAATTTTTTAAAATTACATTTTATTTAGTGTGTATGCACCACAATGTAAATGTGGTGATCAGAGAACAACTTAAAGAACTCAGTTCTCTCCTTTCAGCATGTGGGTCCTGGGGATGGAACTCAGGGTGCCAGATGTGACTGCAAGCATCTATATCAATATGGCCATCTTGCCAGCCCTTTATTTTACTTCAACTGAATAGCTTAACTGCTCTGAGAAATTGTGTTTACAGCTATAAAATGGAGTGAATGAGAGCTGGGTATCAAGACACTGGGTACATTATCATTGTCCTTATTGTAGCTGTCACCCTTGTCATTGTATTGAGTATTTACCTTAGAGAGGTCTTGGATGTCCCACCTTAAGTAATGCTCAGGCTCCTGACACAACCTGATGCTAAGGGTACAGGTAGCCCCAGTGAATGCCTCGATCCTGTTTCGAAGGTCCCAGTCATTGCCCAAGCATAGTTCCAGCATGGTCAACTCCTTATCCTTGGGGTCTGGACCTGCGGGACCTGCGGGACAGTCTCCATGTCCTCTCAAAGACTGTGGAAGGCAAGGTGGAGCAAAAGCCCAAGTTCTTTGGTGATTTCTAATGCAGAGACTGCAATAGATAAGGGGTCAGAGGCCAGAGAGACAGATTGTCTGAATTGGAGGCAGCAAAAGGAAGGGAGAGCTATCCAGGACAGATGTAGATGTTTAAGATCAAACACAGCCTAAGGACGACGGTTCTGGCACCTGCACCCATCGGGGTTCAGGGACTATCTCAATCTCCCAAAGATACTTCGCAGGCTGGGGTTGCTGTGGCAGCATGAAGGGACCAGACGCCAGCACAGCTCCAGTTTTGGCGTAGCTCCAATCTTGGCGCAGCTCTGGGGGCGGAGCGCCGAGTATCTGAGCGACGGCACGCACAGCCAACAAGGGTGCAGCCATGGGTGTGCCGTTCCGCCCTTCGCTGCTACGCCCAATAGGAAGAGTCCTGGCCTCGGTCTGGGCGGGCCCTGGGCTGGAGACTGAGGCGCGCGGGTGCGGCACCCGGAAGTCGGCGGCTGCGGAGGCGGTGAGTGTGCGGCGGGAGGCTGGGGCTGGCAGGCTGCGCTCCTGGCGGGGCTAACCCACGGTCGGGCGCCGGGCTCCTGGAACGCGGTCTTGACCAGGTTGGTCGAGGGCGAGGCGGCCCGCACCTTCTCGTCTTAACTCAGTTTCCCCTTTCCAGTGCGTAAAATGGAAACTAAACGGCTTGACTCGGGACTCTAGTCCGACAGACCAAACCTTCTCTGGCAATTGAAAGCAGCCCACACGGTACTGAAAGATGTTTTTGATTATCCCTGTCAGGACTGGGTGCGGGGAGGTGGTCTCGGCAGACAGAAACAGACTCGCTGTGTAAGAGGTTAGATTGGCGGGACAGGGAACTGCATGGTTGTTGCAGGGTGGAGGGCTGCAGCCTCCAGCGTCTCAGGGACCGCTCTGGTGGAGCCTAGTCATGTCGCCTCTCTCACCCTGAAACCTGCTGTGAGGCCTCGAGAGGCTCATGATATGTCAGAGTAGGCAGCAAGTGCTGGGTCATTCCTGTGTCAGGTGTTGGCTTTACTTGGTAAACCCACGCCCGGAGCTGGAGGGCATTGCGTGTAGTCTTATATCCAGGCCAGGCCTGGCCCTAGTCTTTGGCAGCCCAGGTTTGCTTGTTTTCCTCTTGGACAGTGGGCAAGGAGGATCTGATGTTGAGACCCTAGCCGTCTACCCTCAGGGTCTTTCCTGTGCTTTTGTCTGGTAGATCACCACTTTAGAGTGAACCTTAAGTCCTTCTACAGGTCCCTGAGTCGCAGCTCCTCCCCCTCCCCCAGTGAAGTGTGTCTTTTTCAGCCCTGTCTGCTGGCTGAACCTGCTGACTGTTCTTTTGCCCCTCCTGGGCTCAGAGCCATCTTCTGAGGTAGATGTGACAGCAGCTATAAGGGACAGCTGGATGTCTCTGTGAAAGGCATCGTCTAGACAACTTTTTAAGGCAATATTCATTGTTCCAACGCTGTCCATAGTGAAGAAAACTCTAGCAAAGGGAATCAAGTGTTTCCAAGGTGCTTGGCTTCCAGGCTTGTGCCACCCCCCCCCCATCATGTGATCTGCTGGAGAGGGTGACTTGCCAGATAGAGCAGAGCCTTTACTCCTCTTCCAGATTCCCAGTGTTCCCACAGGGATGCAGGATGCTCTGGTGCTCTCACCTACAGGTTC